GATCCTGATTATCTCTGGGGTACCAGAGATAAAATCTTAAATTGTAAATCCTGAACCCCAGACCTCTAGCATCCTGAACCGTGAAATCCAACATTCTCAGCCCTGCCCGTGCCTTATAGATGATGAGCTCTCGAAACAAGTGTCCGACATACCTCCAACCAAGTATGATGCGAGTGTCTTGGTACACCAAAGCAGGAATTCCAAAATCGTGGACAAATCCCAGGAACATCAATCCCACCCCGGGCGCATTCTGAAATCACATACCATACCCGTTACATCCAATACCTCCCCCATCCAACCTTGATCCCTGATTCCAGCTCCTGAGCCATACCCACCCATAGTCACTGCATTGTGACATGGTGTAATGTGCATGTCCCGAACTCCAAGCCCTAAGCCACCAGCTCCTGAAACAGCTGTGGCCGAAGTCCATCATCGGCCTTTTCGAAGAAGGCTTTAGCCTCTGCGATAGCCGTCTGCAACTTAGCCACAACCTGAATTGCCATGAATCTCTTCCGTGTACCAATGATACCCTTCAGGTGTGGTTGCTTCAGATTCGGGAAGGTAGAATCATTTCTCAAGGCTTGCAAAACCTCCTGTTTCTGACCATGTGTAGACCATTGTTCAGCTAGCACGGTCATTCATGGTCAGTACCGTGACTATACCAGCCATCACCAACAGCAACATCGTCACAGCTGACACCACCAGCGAAACCACAGCTGCTGACACCGTTGCAACCATTGCCACGACCGCCACCAGCACCACCCACATCCCACCCGCTGCCCACTGCCCTGCCACGGCCTACCACTCAATGCCAGCAGTACCAGCGGCACGTGTACCTGCAATCACCATCAAGATGACTCACGCCCCCGAAGAATTCCTGACATGAGGATTCACATTCATGAAAGGAAGGCAATCCCGGCCAATAGTCACCGGTCTTTTCATTCTTGGTTGGAAGGTGCCTGCACCAAGTACAATCCCAGTCTGACCTACATGTAGCTGCCTCACACCCAGTCATAGCTGCATTGCTAATTGCAGCAGGTGCTTTTGATCACAGCTCTCCCCCCCTGTTCACAGCCCTAGCGCAGCTCCCAGGATTGATTTTGAAATGGATATGCGTGGCCTGGTGGGATGGGCAAAGCCATGCATATTCTTGGCGGGTGAGCATTCAGGGGGCTTCTTGCTTTACACCCAAAAGGAAAAGCAGGCGCTAAGGTCGAAGCCCAACAAACTTAAAAGCAAATAGGTTGAGTTTTTTGTTTTGCTGTCAAGGAACTCCAACTAAGTTTCCACAATATGGGTGTACAAGGTTTCCTTATCATAGTAACTTACTTTGAATCCTGAGCAGCAACCCGGTTTTGGGAATGTAGAGGGGATTGTTGCCTCGGTCTGGTTTGACAGAGTCTAAAGACAACTGGAGCACGTTGGGTTTCTGTAGTTTCTCTTGCATAAATGCATGAACGCCAGATTTGCAACTGATGTCGGCCAAGTCCATTGCGGCCTCTGACAGAGCTTTGAGCAGATTTTTTGTATAAGATCTTAGGGCGATGGAAGTATGTAAGCCCTAGAGTCCAAAACAACCCAAACACACCAACAAAAAGGATCCCAGTAGCATCTCTGGAGATGATGCTCGTTGGCACCTTGTTAGTCAGGGCCAACGCGACTTGCTGATGAACATCTGTGTCCGTGCTTTGCACCTCATGGACTTCCTGCGGGGTACGCAAGTGGCGGCTTTCGAGACACATTTGGAGGTTTCCCAAAATTAGGGGTACCTTTTTTGGGGGTCCCCATAATAAGGACTATAGTATATTGGGGTCTATATGGGGGTCCCCCTATTTTGGGAAACTACCATTTGGGGAGGCACGACAGCTATCTGCGATCTTCGCATTTTTGCAAATTGTAGAAACAGCCCAGAACGCAGGTACAGCCAATGAAGTCTAGCCACATGATGAACCATTATTCTGCACATTGCCAACATCGATTACATGGCTTGCACGGCTCTGGAAGAAGAAAAGACACTCTAACCCCAGCCCCTTACACCCCATCCTACACTTCCCTTAAGCCCCTCTTATCCTCTCCCCCCACCCCCTGCCCTCCTTCACCATGGTGGACTCCACACCCCTGGATACAGCAGGTGCCCTCGCACCCCTGGAGCCACCTTTAACCTACGGCTGATTGCACTTTTCAGGTCAAGTTTTGGTGCGAATGCAGGTTTCCATGTCATGTTGGGAGTGTGAGGGTTGCATGGCCTTTCCATAGAATCTGCTTTCTAAGGGTGTAGAAGGCTTTAAATGGAAACTTGACCAACAATCTCGCACAACCCATCCCATAAGCTTACGTCACTTTAGCAAGGAATGAAAGAATAGCGCATTCTATTGTCCGTTGCATTGCCTGAGCGCTGAACCCCGAATCCTCGATATCCCCATAACCCGGGCCCATTATGGTATCCATGCTCTTTTCCATTCCCTCATTCCCCTGCTAAAAGCCCTAAAGCCTAAAGCCCTAAACCCCAAATCCTAAAACCTAAACCGCTAAATCATAAATCCAAAGCCCTAAGTCCTAAAACCTTAAGTCGGAGCCATAGTGACTGCACAGCCAATCCCTGCCAGGGTTGCGAAAACTGTGAGGCGTCCATCCTGCACTCCCGGGAAACACCTGTAGCAAGGAGTCTTTGGGATTTAGGATTTGGGGGGGGGTTTAGGGTTTTAGGGGTTTAGAGGCTTGGGAGTCTAGGGGTCTAGCAATTTTTGGGTACCGCTTTCGGGTCAGAGAATCTGGGATGCCGTATTTGGAGTTGTACTCCGCCGGGTTCCTCGAGAGAGGCTCGAATGACCAGACTACACGACAGGCATACATAATTTTGACAACCACCCATATAACCCTAATATATACCCTATTATAATACAGTAGTTTCCATTTTCTTTTCCATTCTCCCTGTATGAGCTATAATCTAAACTCCTAGTATCCCCCTTAATATCCCTCATAGTAGTCCCCTATATATTCCCCTACATAACCCCCCTTTAAGGAGTTTAGACTATGGCTCATATAACCCGAATAATATTCTAGTTGTACCATCCTCACAGGCTGTAAAGCTCACAGGGACGATGCTGGCAGTGATACTCCTAGCAGTAGGGTTTAGGGTTCAGGGGGTTTAGGGTTCAGGGTTTAGGATTTAGGGTTTAGGGTTTAGGGTTAAGGGTTTAGGGTTACTATGACTAGAACGGTAATCGCAACATCAGCGAAAAACATAAGATGAATATCAATGGGAAGAGGACCAGCACCATAAACGACCACCAAGCCTTGAAAACCCTTAGAGCCCTCGTAGTACACCCTGAATCCGTAACCTTGTAGATATCCATCTTCAGCTCCTACAGCCCCCTGCGAGCCATATTCTAGACTCCTTAGAGGAGGTTATATGGGGGATTATACAGGGGAGTAGTATAGGGGATATTACAGGGAATAGTAGCAGTTTAGACTACATACAGCTCATAGAACCTCTATAAATCCTACATAATCCCAGTTTCCATGTCATGTTCCATTTTCTATTCCATTTGATTCCCATTATGCGGGGTAATATCCCTAACCCTAAACTCTAATCCCTAATCCCTAAACCCTAAACCCAAACCCTAATCCCTAAACCCCAGAACCCTAATCCCTAAACCCCGAACCCTAATCCCTATATCCCTATAAGGGAGGCCAATGGCTTCATTTGCATCCCTTGCCTTGCTCCCTGGCGCAGGCCCGAAGCACGGTTTGCGGGTATGGACGGGCCCGGACGCACGGCGCCGGCTTGTGCAACCGCCATGGTAAATGCTGCCATTTTCCTAGAGTCCCTACACTGAGACAGTAAAAAGTGGGGCTTTTGAAGTGAGGACTGGTGGATCCCATATGAGATGTAGGGCTATGTATGCCAAAGAAGCCAAGTGTAAGTAAGGAAGCTGTGAAGATGCAATGCTTGTCAAAAACCTCGAGCCGGAAGCGTGCAAAGTGGTCACGTGCAGTTTACGGGTACCCTCTAAAGGTGTTTATAGGAGTTATATAGGGGTTGTAAGTTATATAGGGATAATGGAAAAGAAAAGGGAAATTACTATTTAGTGTTTAGGGTTTAGCAATGCGAAGAAGACTTAATCCCTTCTTCCGACTGATAAGCCCAGTGCTTGGCATTGCATCTTCTATGTAAGAGACCACCTATTGTGACGAGGGACTTGGAGGAATCTAATTAATACTAGGGGGAAGGAGTTCCAGCGTATTTTCGCATAATTTCAATTCCCAATTTAAGGCTATTGTGGTAGTACTCAAACCACCATTCAGGGTGAGGTCGGGTGAGGTCGCTTTAATTTGCCCAGATTGAAAAGAGTTAGCAAACTCACAACACCATGCATGCAGGTATCACAAGTCATGAGGACATTCCCCGCGCTCTTGGTAGCATGGAATTTGAAAGGATGGGAACACAGACTCCGGCATGTTGAGCCCAAAGCCCTAGTAGTCCCAAAACCCAAAACCCTTATCCCAAAATCCTAGATCCTAATCCCAAAGCCCTAAACCCTACATCCCAAAACCCTTATTCTTCAGCAACCTTTCCTCACTCAGTGCAGTGGAAATGCCAAAGCCAAGATTCAATTTCATCATCTAACGTACGTGGCACTTAGGGGGTCCTACTAAGGGTTAACCCTTAGGTACCTATAATCGGAATACAATGGAATCCGAAGGGGTTGAGGGTCTAAGGTCCAAGCTAAGTCCCAAGGAGTAGCATAAGCTTCTGTGTGTCCCAATCTCCAGGGACGCGTGAAGCAACTCCAGCCTCAATGATTCTCTCTGAAGCTTGTAGTCAAACCCTTAACCCTAAATAGTAGTTTCCATTCTCTTTTCATAAGCCCAATATAACCTTAATATTACCCTACTGGGTTTTTCTGGCATCGTTGACCTAGAGTCCGAGGACCTCCGAGTCAGATCCTGCAACTCCTGAACACCAAAACAAACACATCTCTCTCTGAGCACAGGGCACTTTGGTGGTAGCCCAAGCCCTGGCATTTTCGCCTCTGCTTCCAGCTTGTCAAGGGGGTATGAATGAGTTTTCTTGCCATAAAACTCCAGAGTCCATTGCTCACTGATTCTAACGTGGATTCTCCAGTCTTCAAAGTTGTTAGGGTAAGGAGCTTCTTTCCAGGGAGTCTTCAGGCAGATGCTAACTTTCAGAAATTTCCATGCACATCAATGACCCTCCAGAAATGGACCCCCACTTTTAGAATACCTCGTGAGAAAATCTCCAGGCGTGTAGGCACCCTAAACACGAAACCTGCGCACTAAAACGTAAGAGAATGGAAGCTACGGTATGATAGGGTTATGTAGGGATATACTATAGGGAATATAAAGGGGTAATGGGGAGGAAAATGGAAACTACCATTTAGTGTTATATTGAGGAAGTCTTGCACCGTCTAGGAACTAGGTAGGCATACTACAAACACGAGCGGTATCTACAATAGTAGTCATGGAGACACCCCAAAGTCCTAAAGCCCAAACCCTTATGAGCTACTCCATGGTGCTTAGTAGGGAAGGGGGGAATGGATTCCTATAGTAGTCCCTATATAACTCCCAGTAATAATCCCCATAATCCATTCCTCATTCCCTCGTAAGCACCAGGTAGACTACTTGAGCGTTCTCCCTCCCTAAGAACCTGGGACTTAGGAGAGGTGCAGGATCTCCTCCATTCAAGAGCAGCATACTCCAACAAATCCGGAGGAGGTAAAGTATCAGGTTCAACCACTACTAGGGTTTAGGGTCCAGTGTATAGGCTTTAGGGTTTAGGGGTTTGGGGGCTTAGGGTTTAGGGTCCAGGGTTTAGGGGTGTAGGGGTTAGGGTTTAGGATGACATGTAAGAACAAAAGATGAATGTTGCCTACAATGATAAGCATTTTGAACCAGACGTTTCCCAAAGGGTCCATGTAGGCATGTGCTGTATACTTGAGCCCAGAGGGTTGCCATGAACAAAAGACTCTTTGAGGTCCTTTTGGCACCCCCACATGATGCCCACATCGCAGACATACAATTTCCAGAAACATCAAAAACCTGTCAGGAAGGCACTCCATAGGGAACAAAGAAACCCCAACCCTGAAACCCTTACACCTGACCCTGACCCTGCCTTGCCTGTCTAAAACCTAAACCACCAAAAGCATAGACTACCTGGTGCTTAGGAGGGAATCGGGGGCATGGATTATGGGGGGTTATTACTGGAGGTTATATAGGGACTACTATAGGGATCCATTCCCCCATTCCCTACTAAGCCCC